ACCCGGAGGAGCTCGGCCAGGCGCCGACGGCGGAGGAGATCATCAAGGCGCCGAGGGCCTTCAAAGCGTCGACGGCCCTTTGCGTCGACGCAGTGAAGCCACGCGCCTTCGGGCACCTCAGCGACGGGGGCCTGGGGGCGCTGGGGCTGCTCCTCCTGATGGTGGAGGATACCTGCTGGCTGCCAGAGCAGGTGATCGTGCTATGTGTGTTCCTTCTGGCGAAGACTGACGGAGGCTGGAGGCCTAGTCGGCCCCTCACCAGCCACGTCCGCCTGCTGGGGGGGATTCGCAGGATCGACGCAGTCGAGTGGGAGGCTGCCCACAAGCGCGACTACTTCTTCGGCGAGGCCGGGCGCCCCTGCGAGGACGCGGTATGGCTCCAGTCCCACGACGCGAACGTGGCGGCCGCGATGGGGCAGCATTCGATGGCGACGACGACCGATTTGTCGAAGGCGCATGGTCGCTGCGGCCCGCCGACACTGCTTCAGGATCCGACGGCCGAAGCTGATCCTCCGCAGATTCGGGGGAACCGAAGCGTCTCTGCCTCAGCCGCTGGAAGTCGGAAGAGATGCGGCTCGGCAGCTCCATCGTGGCAGCCTGCGGGTACGCCGCGACTCTCCTTCGGGTCGTCCTCCTCTCCACGATGGACGCGGTGATGGCGACGTGGCAGTCGGTGCGTGGCTACCTGGTCGTGGACGACATCACGCTGGCGGCGTGCGGGAAGCTGAGGGGGGTGGAGCCACGGACTTCGGAGCGACCAGAGATCTCTGCCAGCGGCTCGGGGCCCTGGGTTTCCAGGTCCCCTGATCAAAAGGAACGTGGTGAGCGGCAACGAAGGCGCAGGTAAGCGCACGGCCCACCGCCTGCGGAACTGGGACTACAGGTCGAGACGCGCGGTCAAGAACCCTGGCGTCGACTTCGGCATGAAGCCCACGGCGCCGCGGTCAGCCTTGCGCAGCAGAGTAACGAGGCTACCGGCCAGGTCCCCACACTACATAGCGTTTCGACGCGCAGGGGCCAGACTGGCCAGCGTCTTCAGACGCGGAAGCCTGGCCCCCGTCCTCCACGGCGCCAGGGCGGCCGGCGCGCCGACGGCGGCGCCGGAGAAGGCGAGGACAATCAACGGCCAGGCGCTGGCAGGAGTCGTGGGCATCAAGAGCAGGACGCTGCTGTCTGCGCTGCAGCCAAACCAGGGCTAGAAGCTGGACCCCGCCTGCGCGGCCAACAGCCTGCCGCTGGAGGCCTGGACCAAGGTGGCGTTCCTGGGAATGCGCAGCGACGCGAGCCTGAAGACGGCCTTCCACGCGGCGCAGCCCGAATCCTAGGTCCAGGTGCGCGGGCCTGCCCTCGCGAGGATCGGTGGGAGGCCGTCGATTGGAGGACTTAGGCCACAGACGAAGGGACATGGACGACCCCAAGACCCACAGCCCCAAGCGCGCGAGGCAGATCATCGAGCTGGGGATCCAGCGCGCGCTGATGAGAAAGTTGCAGCAGGGGCACCTGGCAGGATTAGCCCTAGGGTCGCCCTAGGGGTAGGGCCTAGGGGTAGCCCTAGGGTAGCCCTAGGGGTAGGCCCTAGGGGTAGGCCTAGGGTAGCCCTAGGGGTAGGCCCTAGGGGTAGCCCTAGGGTAGCCCTAGGGGTAGGCCCTAGGGGTAGCCCCAGGGTAGCCCTAGGGGTAGGCCCTAGGGTAGCCCTAGGGTAGCCCTAGGGGTAGGCCCTAGGGTAGCCCTAGGGTAGCCCTAGGGGTAGGCCCTAGGGGTAGCCCTAGGGTAGCCCTAGGGGTAGGCCCTAGGGGTAGCCCTAGGGTAGTAGGCCCTAGGGTAGCCCTAGGGTAGCCCTAGGGGTAGGCCCTAGGGGTAGCCCTAGGGTAGCCCTAGGGGTAGGCCCTAGGGGTAGCCCTAGGGTAGCCCTTCCTTGGGTGATCTATAAGGTCAGGAGAGCAGGTGCTGCGATCGACGACAACGGCATGGTCAGGTGCCTGGTCAGTCTGGGACTGGAGTCACTCCCGAGGCCAACGCAGCAGGAGGTGTGTCTACGAGGAGGTGTGCTTCGAGAAGACCTGGTCCACGGGACGGTCTGCATCGACGGCTCAGCGCTGCTCCCAGAGTGGGGCGAGCTCACGAGGACCGTGTGGGCCTGCGTCATGGTGGACCCCGACGGGACCCTGAGAGGAGGCATGTACGGCAGCGTGCCTGGGTCAGTGCAGGAGAGTGGCCATGCCGAGCTCTATGCGCTGCCGAGGGTGCTGCAGGAGAAGGGCCCCGAGGTCGGCGTGGTCACGGACTACATCCGGTTGGTGGAGGACTTCGAAAGAGGAGAAGAGTGGAGCGCTGCGGCGGGCTCGCTGTACGCGGACTTGTGGCGCGAGGTCTGGGCACACGTCAAGGACCTCGGCGCAGACAGCTTCAGCCTCCGCTGGACGCGGGCCCACACCATTTGGACTGCGGCGGAGGCGGCAAGCGTCCCGTGGGCCTGGCACCGCGACAACCGACAGGAGGGCGCGAGGCTGCACCCCTCCTTCGACGCCGTAGAGAAGGAGTCGGCCCAGGTGAGAGCGGCCACCCGCGCCGCGAAGCTGATCGCCGCTCACCATGGGGCGGTGCTGAACGAGCTCGCGCCTGCGATGGCCTGATCGGACCCCCCTCCCACTCGGCCATCCCTCCGAAATTCGGTCGTTCTCGTGTCTGGCGGGAGTGGGCACTCGGTTTTGCGTTTGGGAAGGGCCTGGGTCAGCGCCCCTCAAACGGGGACTCCACTAACGAGTACTTTGGCCAGTGACCCAGCGAACCCAACCCTTCCCGATGTGGGCAAAGCTGCAATGCAAGAAAAAAGCCCTAAAGTGGCAACTTTCGGCAAAAATTCAAAGTACCCGTTAGTAAGTACCCGTTGCGGTGCCGTTGACTGGGGATCTAGCGCCCGTGGGGCCAGAAAAGGGCTCCGATCCAGGGTAGTGTGCTCGCCCTGCCCAGGGATGCCCAAGCCTGCTGCGACTGCCCACGCCTGCTGTCTCCGCCTGGCCCGTCTTCTGCCTGCCCGCCCGCCCCGCCGGCCCTGGCCTCCCGCCTGGGCGTTCGTCGTCGTCTGCCTGCTTCTCCCCTCCTCGTCCCCTTCCGCCGGACAGCACAGCCTGCCCGGAACCAGCGTGGCGGCATATAGGAGCCTGACGCTGAGGGCTCGAGAGGCGAGCCTCGCCTGCCATCGGAGCGGCGGGAACCCATGAGCTGTGAGTGGTTCGTGGGGGTCGGGGGCGGGGGGTCCTGGGAGGGTCTCATGGGAGGCGTGGGGCTATCGTGTTCTATAAGATTTGCGGGGGCTGCGCGCGTCGGCAGGTGCACGGCCTTGGTCGCCCCTGCCGCCCGTCCTCGTCTCGTCCCCGATCGGCGGCCCGCCTGGCTCGATCGGCTTTGGGACGCCTGTTGTCTGGCAGGGAGCCCCAGTCCAACGTTTTCTGGAGGCTCGTTCGGCGTTGAACCCAACGTGGGGCCTGATGAGGGGGAAAATTCGCCGGGCCCCGAAGCCGAGGAGGCATGGGTCTCCTGTTTCGAGGTTAGTCCTGTTTGGTAGTAGGTTAGATTAGTTCGGCGTTGAGCGGGACTTTCTCTTGTAGGCTCAGAGGATCTGAGGAGGAGGAGGAGGAGGAGGAGGAGGAGCAGGAGGAGGAGGAGAAGGGGGAGGAGAAAGAGGAGGAGGAGGAGGAGAGGGAGGAAGAGCGGGAGGGCGAACTCGCCGGGTCCCGCACGCCAGCCCTCCCCACAGAGTCGAGGGCACGCCCAGGGGCACGACGAGGCCGTCCTGCACGACGCGTCAGGTGCGCGCTGCCCGGCAGCCCAGACTTGTGCGCGACGCGCCAAAACGTGCCTGTTGGTGACCTCATTTCGTGTTGACCATCGACCGATCCCATTGCTTTGGTTTCTTCTTCGGAAGCGGTTAGTTAATCCTCCTCCTCAATCTAGGCTTCAACCGATCCGCCTCCTCTGTGTTCACCAGAGGCTTCAAATAGGTCCTGAAGATAGGCTCTAACTCAATATTATGTGTCCTTGTCAGTCCTAGTCTCCTTGGCAGATCCGAATACTTATTATTGGGCTCCACCTGGTGTTCCATATCGTTTGCAGCCGCAGCAAAAAAAATGTCTTCTTCCAGTGCTTCGATCAAGCTATCCACTGACAGCATCCTGATTTCCCCCATCTCTTCATCAATGTCTTCCTCTGATTCGAATTGCCCTTTTTACCCTGAAGAAACAGCCACACAAGTCGGGTGTGCAACCTCATGCCTTGCTGTGTCCACAGCCAACCAGGGGACGTCAGCCAGACCAGTCGGGTTTGCACCCTCAAGCCTTGCTGTGTCCAAGGGCGGGGATTCAAATCCAGGGGGAGGTTCAAGTCTTGTTTTTGCCAGCATGTTCAAACTCTGTTTCTGTGCGTGTCTAGTATGGGTGCGATGAATTCGCATGATTAGTTTGGCAAGAGCTCTCTTTATTAGCAAAACAGCACATTACGACGCAGGATGCACACTAAGCGGTACTAAAATGTGTCGTTCCTTTGTCCCTCCTCCTGCCCTGGCCAAAATAGAGGCTGACAGCCGGAAACGCGCCGCTGGTAAGTCGCGAAAGCTTAAGGCAAGGCCGGGTCTCGTCGATCGCTTCACGGCGGCGACCAGGAGAGGAGGATGAGGAGGAGGAGCGGAAACGGGAGCGGGAGCGGGAGCGGGAGCGGGAGCAAGATTAGCAGCAGCAGGACCAGCAGGCAGCGGTGGCGGCGGCGGCAGGAGGGCACGAGAGCGAGGAAGCCACCACCGCCCCCTTTTTCTGGCCAGGCGAGGGGAACGCCCGCGAGCCCGCGCACTCTCGGAGTCCGCCGGCGGAGGGGTGGTGACACCCCCCGCGAGCCCACCACACGGAGCCCCATCCAAGCCGCCGCCGCCGTGGCCGCCACCGCCGCTGTCCGCGGCGGCCACCGCCGCGACGGCGGCGGCGACGGCGGCGAGGACGAGGACGGCTCTTCTAGGGACAAAAACAAAACAAACACAATTTCGCGGAGTTCTCGGATCGGCGTTGGGCCCCCTCCCTGGCGCGCGGAGCGCGCCAAGGGCGGCGCCGGAGGCGCGGCCGGGGTGGTTCAATACCGCTACAAGAGATGTGTGGAATGTATGCTTGATCGTATTTTGGTACTCGACCTTCCCAGGCCCGTTACAGAATATCCCCACTACGTCAGAACGTCGAAGGTTTTCAGAATGCGGTCCGAATTTTCGATGGTCCTCAAAATCCGCCGATCCGTCGTGAGTTTCAAAGACCCTCAGAACACCCTGAACCTCTATTCCTGAACTTCAACTCTACTGGGGGGGGGCGGGGGGGCTCTGCCGGGGTAACGGGAGAGGGGGGGGTCCAGTTAATTCCCGGGGCGGAAGCGGAGTTCCAGCTCACTCCGGGACGGCCTCCTCGCCCAAGAGGGCCCCAACATGGGCCAAAAGGGTCCCGAGTCGCCGAACGATCGCTACAAGACGCCTAAGATGTCCCCAGAACGGCCCCAGAAGCCTCCAAGATGCCCTCACAAACCCTGGAAAAGGCCTCCCAAAGAAGGCCCAAAGAAGCAAAAACTGCCCCATTCCCAAAGGAAACGTACAATTTTAACAGATTCGCCTCTTGGGCATTCAAAGCGTCGCAGACGCCCCACGAGAGCCACATAACGGCCCAAGAAGCCTCCAAGAGGGCTCCAAGACGGCCCAAAAAGGGCCCCAAATGGCCCAGGAGGCCCCTGGAAAGGCCAAAGAGGGCCCCAAGACAGGCCCAAGAGGCGCCTGAGAGGGCGCCAAGACGGCGAAATAAGTGCCGATGACGGCCCAAGAAGCCCCCAGCAGGCTCCCAGAGGCCCCAAAAAGGCCAGAAGAGGCCCCAAGACTCTTCCAACTGGCCCCGAAGAGGCCCCCTGAAAGCCCCTTTGAAGGCCCCCAAGAGTTTGAAAAAATGCATGCAAGACGCACGCAGACAGCTCCCGCACCAAGTTTTACAGAGAGTGCGCCAAATCGGCGAGGCGTCAACCCAATGAGGGCCAGCACCTGCCCCTGAAGAGGCTTCCCAACAATCGCCGAACATCTCCCACAACCGCCGAAAATCTCCTCATACTCGTCATGCTCCTCCTTCTCCAACCCCCCTCTTCCACTTCCCGCTTCCTCCTGCTCCTCCTCATCCTCGGCATCCTGCTACTCCTGCCCCTCCCCCCCCTCTCTAACCTCATCATGATCCTCCTCCTCCTCCTCCTCCTCCTCATCATCATCATCATCATCATCATCATCATCATCATCATCATCATCATCATCATCATCATCATCATCATCATCACCATCATCATCATCATCATCATCATCATCGTCATCATCATCATCATCATCATCATCCTACTCCGTCGCCTCCATTCCCAATCCTCATCATCATCCTCACCGCTCGCCGTCGTCGCCCGTCATGACCGCCATCGCGCGCTTCAGGCAGCAACGGAAGCGTCCCGGATCGGTGGCACTGGCCGGAGGCCACTATAATAACTGTTGGCGCCAGCGTGCGTTTGTCCACCGAAGCCCTTGATAAGGGCAGGCGCAAGCTGGGTACCATCGACGGAGCTGACGGGGGTAAACACACTGGGCTAACACACGTGCAGAAGATCATCGACCGGCGCTTGCGCTTCCAAGCGTGGCTGGCAAGGCACTCACATGCACCGAACCAGGACCCAGGATTGGCCCCGTCAGGACTCGTGCGGCCACGCGGTCAGCGCCCCCCGATGCCAGAAAATGCTCTCCGTCGCGCCTCTCGACCTGCTTCTTCTCGTGCACAAACCGGGTGGCGACATCCGAACCCTGCCCCCCGGCCGCCCCTCGGACTGTCAAGAGGGTCTCGATGGGCTGCGGGGGCGGGGCTCGGCACTCGCCACGGGACCATCCAGGCCGTTCCTTTAGGTCGAGCATGTCCTCCTACAGGCGGATTCTGTAGGAAAAATTAAAAACAGCTATATGCAGAAATACCAACAAAAAAAAAAGGCAAACAAATCCCCATGCTGTGTTTCTACCATGCTTGAGTATTCCTCCTGTAGAAGGACAGACCCCACTTGACTGCACCTCCAACGACCCGACACCTCCGACCCCCAGCCGACGCCGAAACCCGCCCGCTGAACTCTCGGGGCCCCTCCCGAGGGGCCCGCACATTTGCACCCCGAGGCCGCCTCGTGGGACGGAGCCACAAAGGGGAGAGAGGCGCATGCACCTGCACGCGCCGCGCGGCGAGGAGCGAGCACCTCTTCGCACCCCCGCGCCGCCGCCCAGTGGGCAGGAAGCTGCAACCCAGGTCCCATTCAAGAAGGCTCGCCCCGCGTGGAGCACTACAACTAGGTCGGGCATGTCCCCCTACAGGCCGATTCTGGGGCGAAGAAATAATTATCCCGGCAAAGAAACCTAACAGCGATGTGTAGAAGCATACCTGGAAGCACTCCCCTTAAGATTCAGGTGAGAATCCAGTTGTAGAATACTGCTGTTCTCGCAGTCGCAGTCGCAGTCGCATTCGCGATGACAGTCGCAGTGGCAACGGCAGTCGCAGTCACAGCTTCAGCTTCAGCCTGCCTCAGCCTCAGCCTGCCTCAGCCTCAGCCTCAGCCTGCCTCAGCCTCAGCCTCAGCCTGCTTCAGCCTCAGCCTCAGTCGGCCTTCAGCCTCGGCCTCAGCCTCAGCCTGCCTCAGCCTCAGCCTGCAGCCTCAGCCTCAGCCTCAGCCTCAGCCTGCCTCAGCCTCAGCCTCAGCCTGCCTCAGCCTCAGCCTCAGCCTGCCTCAGCCTCAGCCTGCCTCAGCCTCAGCCTCAGCCTGCTTCAGCCTCAGCCTCAGTCTGCCTTCAGCCTCGGCCTCAGCCTCAGCCTGCCTCAGCCTCAGCCTGCATCAGCCTCAGCCTCAGCCTCAGCCTGCCTCAGCATCAGCCTGCCTCAGCCTCAGCCTCAGCCTGCCTCAGCCTCAGCCTCAGCCTGCTTCAGCCTCAGCCTCAGTCTGCCTTCAGCCTCGGCCTCAGCCTCAGCCTGCCTCAGCCTCAGCCTGCATCAGCCTCAGCCTCAGCCTCAGCCTGCCTCAGCCTCAGCCTCAGCCTCAGCCTCAGCCTCAGCCTGCCTCATCAAGCCTCAGCCTCAGCCTCAGCCTCAGCCTCAGCCTGCATCAACCTCAGCCTCCCTCAGCCAGCCTGCCTCAGCCTCAGCCTCAGCCTGCCTCAGCCTCAGCCTCAGCCTGCTTCAGCCTCAGCCTCAGTCTGCCTTCAGCCTCGGCCTCAGCCTCAGCCTGCCTCAACCTCAGCCTGCATCAGCCTCAGCCTCAGCCTGCATCAGCATTCAAAATGTGGCTCGGGAATAAAGTTTTGGGAACTCGAAGAACACGAAGTGGCCTACAGTTGGCTCCGGGCATTCAAAATCATGTCCAGGAATGGAGTTCTGGGAACTCGAAAACCACGAAGTGGCCTACAGTTGGCTCCGGGCAATCAAAATCATACCCAGGAATGGAGTTCTGGGAACTCGAAGACCACGAAGTGGCCTACAGTTGGCTCCGGGTATTCAAAATCATACCCAGGAGTGGAGTTCTGGGAACTCGAAGACCACGAATTGGCCTACAGTTGGCTCCGGGCATTCAAAATCATGCCCAGGAATGGAGTTCTGGGAGCTCGAAGACCACGAAGCGTGTTACTGTTGGCTAAAAAAAGAATCCCCAGATCCCGTCCGGATCCCGTCCGGATCCCGCCCAGACCCCCCTGGGGAGTCATGATGCTGTCTTTGGACCCCACTAGAAACCTATCAGGCTTCGCTGCTAGGTAAAAGTAGCCTTGACAAATATGCAAATAGAGTCGCAAATAGTCGAAAGAATCGCCCCTTCATTATATTTCTACTATTTTTGAAGATTTCTCCTGTAGAGGGACGCGCCCGACATGAAGCTTCAAGGAACCGGCGCCTTTTGATTATCTTTCTCTTCCTGAAGTGCTCGAGCGGGGCCGCAGCGGAGCCCAGTCCAAAAGAAGCCTCCCACAAGAAACCCAACCCTGAGACCCCAGGACGCCCATTGACGTTGGGAGTGGGAACGTCGCGCTGTCCATAGCAAACCCTCGAAACCCAAGAAACCCACGGCACCCTGGTCGGAGAGACGTAAGACCCGGGTACGGGGGACTCGGAAATCCCCGACGAGGTCGTCAAAAAAATGACGAGGCCGAGCCTGCATTTTGACGAGGCCTCCCGCTGCAGACATCCCACGAAACTCCTCCTCGTCAAAATCCGAGTCGCGGTCGTCAAAAAACGATGGCGAACCCGAGTCCCGGCAAACCCGGGTCTTACGCTCCCCCGACCTGGAGGCAGGCAGGGCTTCTTGGCATGGGTGTCCACTGCACGCACCAGACCGACCGCGCGCAACGAGCCCCTCCGGCAATCTCCGACTGGAGAGGAGACGCGAGGCCAGCAGGGGCGAGAGCTCCGCGCCCCGCACGCGGCGCGGGGCGCGGCGCGCGGCCATCTCTGCGCCCCCAGGCCCCGACTCCTGCCCCGGGACTCCTTGGGCTGGGGGCCGATTCGGGCGCGATCCTTCTTATTTCCGCTCCGATCCGATTCTTCTCTTCGAACCTTGAGCGATCCTCCCCGCTGCACAGCTCGTGCCGCCCCGCCCTGGCGACAGGGATCGCCTGCGATCCCCCCAGGCCCCGACTCCTGCCCCGGGACTCCTTGGGCTGGGGGCGACGATTTTCGGGGCACCGTTCGGCCATTGTTGGGGCAATCTTGTTCTCTCGTCCAAAATCCCCCTGCAGGGGGGACGGGCCCGACGTCAGGCTGGGCAGGGGGCGACTGCGCCGGCGACGCACGGCACGCACAGGGGCACCGCGGACGGGCGACGACACCCGAGGCCCCAGACCTCCAGCGCCACGACCTCTGCCGCGGCGCCGGCACGGCCTCGAGGCCCACTCCTGGGGGGCCGTTGTTCTCGAGGGCCCCCACGGCCCCCCAGGGGCCGAAAGTCGTGACTCGCTTTATGTTGCCCCCATGGCCCATAGAATAATCTCGAACGCCCGGAAAAGTATCGAAAGAGTGTCGAAGCAGCGTCGGACGAATCTCCCAGGGCCCGACACGTGAGAACCATCGGGATTCGGTGCTCTATTCGGGCACTCGAAATTCTTCCTGGTAACCATAGGTGTCATCGGGCTGAGAGTTATTTTAAGCATGTGGTGTGCCTATTAGCTTCGTTTGGCTTCTATTAGCTTCTACTAGGTCCTACTAAGCCTGCCTATTGGCCCGCCAATTCTTTGACCAGGGAACGATGCGCCGGCGCCGCCAGCCCTTGGGCCTCCTTGCGGGGCGCTCTGGGACGCCCCAAAAAACCGCGAAGCAGGAGCGCGTTCACCGCGCCCGGGCGGGCTGCTCGCAGGAAGCCGAGGGCGCAGGCCGCGCTGACGACAGCGCAGCCGTGAGGAGGAGGGAGAGGAAGGCGAGGGTGAGCGGAAGCGCGGTGCCCGAGCGCTCGCTCGGCCGCCCCAGCCACGCCGCGCGCGAGGGAACTGCATCCCCGATTTCGGCGGGCGAGCTGGGGTGCCTCGCCCAGCCTCCGAACTGCCGCGCTGAGCTGGGGTGCCCCTGGACCGCGAGAGTTGCCGCCCTGAGCTGGGCTGCCTTTCGACCCCGACCGAGGCGCGCTCGGCCAAGAGGGGGAAAAGGCCAGGGACCAGGAGGGAGAAGAGGCCGGGAAAGAGGAGGGCGAGGAGGAAGGGGCGGGGGGGGGGAAGGGCGAAGAGGGGCACGGAGACGAGGCCGAGGAGGAGGGCTAGAAGAAGAAGAAGAAGAAGAACAATCAGCATAAACGAAAAATATTCGGAGGTCCGCGCGGATTTCTGAAATCGCCGCCGGGCCCCCCCCGGCGCGCGGAGCGCGCTGGAGGCGGCGCCGGAATCGCCGCCGAGAGGGCCCACCGCGGGCCCGAGAAAATCGCGCAATCTTCCGAAAGCTTATGCTCAAGATAGTCGTCGCCCAGTTTCTAAACGGCTGCATGCGCACGTTGTTTTGGATGCCTGGCCCATGCGGCCCCTGCTGTCGACGTCTTGCCTGCCCCGTCGTCGGAGGAGAACGAATCGACCGTCTGGGGCCCGGCGCCTGGTGGCCCTTCGGCGGGCGCGGGGACACCATCGCAGCGGAGCTTCGTGCGGTCGTTGGCCAGGCGACGGCCTGCGCTGGGAGCGGGCCCCTGCGGGTGGCCCACCTCGCCACGGGCGACGCGGTGGCGACCAACTTGGCGGCGGTCGAGCGCCTCCTGTCGTCTTTCTCGAGTGCCGAAAAAAATCCAATACCTTGTGCGCCCGTGGAAACGCGCGCCCCACCAAGCCAACCTGGCGGTACGAGTCGCGACAACGGGGAAGGTGCTCAAAGACCCTGTTGAGGGAGACGCAATCTGCGGCGCCTGCGCGCGCGTCTTCAATTACTGGAACCCGACTTACTACGAAAAATTCGGAATCTCCGTTAGACACCACGTGACTACGAGGATCCGCGTCGAAACTTTGGACCGCGAGCAGCCGAGAGCACGCGCTGAGCATGCGCGGGTCCACGCGAACTTGCACGGGCCGGATGCGATCCCAGATGCCGCGCTCAGCACCCTGAGCGCGACGTTCGGCGATCTAGCCCACCAGGCCCTGCGGCCCGACGCGGGCAAGGGGGCCTCGCGCGCCACCCTTTGCGACGAACACGAGAAGCGGAGTCTGCGCTGCGACGAGCGGCCTGTGACTACCAGGTTTTGGACGTTCGCTTTGCGCGCGCGGACGCTGCCCCTGGCCCGCGTCTTCCAGGTGGACCCGAGGTCCATCTGGAAGCTGATGCGCGCGCGCCCGCAAGAGAAGCAACTGCAGAGGCTGAAACGCTCTCTCAAATTCTGGGCCTCGCCGCGCACGGGCGCGAAGTTGAGGGCGGCAGCGTTTTGCTTGCAATTGGCGTCGCATTGCCTAAATGCGGTCTCCAAGACTTCTCGGGGGCCCCCCATCCTCGCGCATCTCGGACAAGGGACCGCCCAGAAAGAAGCCGCCTGCACCCTCGAGTCTCTCCTCGCCCACGTCTGCGATGACGCGCAGCTGCCCGCGGGCACAGCGATCGTCGCACTGCTGGCTGCCATGGCCCACCTGGTCGCCTGGGCGAGCGCGTTCAACGGGCGCCCCACCGCCCTGTGGAGGTGCACCGCGAGGTGGAATCCAGACAACTGGATGACGGACTGATTATTTTTTTTGTAGGCCCGGGGTTGAAAAGGAATATCATGTTTTCTTCGCACTCTATGTCCTCGGCAGCATGCTGTTTATGTTTGATGTTGTTTCCTTTTGTTGCCCTGCTCGATTTGCGTTTTTTTGTGGGTCGTTCAGATTGCGCCACTGTTCGTTGACGCGCTTGTCGACGTGCCAGACAGGTCAACGAGGTCGACTTGGACGAGGGTTACTCCTTGCTCTTGCAGCCGAGGGCCCTCCGGGAGCCGCCCGAAACAGCAGTTTCGAGGCGCGCGCTATCCTACGAAACCCAGCGGGACATTGAGGAAATGCTGCTGGACGGCGCCGCCACCACGCTGGACGTGGAGAGGCTCCGCTGTTTCTTGCTTGCCCGCGACGTCGCCCGCCCCGCCGTGCGTCGAGTTTTCTACTGCTACAAAAAACCCTCTCTTTTACTTCCGCCTCGTTGTCCTCGGAGGCAGCGCGTGCCGGTCGAGCGCTCCGAGAGACGCCGGCTGCGTTCTTCGCCTGCAGCATCGAGGCGCCTGGGCCCCCCTCCGTCGCCCTCGGGGTCTCCAGAGAAAGCGGGGCATCCAGGGGCGCCCCGGGGCCTGCCGTTCGTTCTCGCCCCCTGCCCCCCATACTCGCGCTCCTCGCCATCCTCTCCCGCCCTCCCCCACCCCCGCCCCTGGTCTTGCGACCCCCCACGAGTGGTGATATACTTCGACGACGCCGAGCCGCGAGTGCGACGCCCAGGTCTGACATGGCGGCGACGCAAAAAGAAGCCCGACAGCAACGCAATTCCCACTGCACTTTGACGTTGCGCAAGAACCCGCACTTCGTGGTTGTCGGGCCCGGGCGGCCACCCACTCTGTCCTTCGACAAACCTGCCACCCAGGATTATATCGATAATAATTACGCCGCTCTGACCGAGGAGTTGGACAGGATGTAATCGAACGCTTCCAATATCAAGGCCCGCGGTAAGCCTCTGGGCCCTGTCACGAACAGCGAGCGGTTCGAGTGGATGGGCGGACACGCAGAAGATTGGGACATTGCGCTCAAAACAACAACGCAGGAGAGACGGAAGCATTCTCAGAGATTGGTTCTGGACCGCGCGGCACCAACATCGCCGCTTGCCCCCCACCTCGTCCTCTTCTTTATCCTATCCACCTCGCCATGATATATCTTCATTCGCCCTCCCCCCCAGTCGTCCTCTGCCTCCTCCTCCTCCTCCTGCTTCTCCCGTCGTCGTCGTCGTCGCCCTCTTTCACAAATACTCAATATGAAAATACTCTCCCTCTTCCCCTGACTGCGTCCGGGTGATGGCCGCGCATTCTCCGCGTACTGTTTTTTTACACACAGGATGCCCGGGAAATCCCCGGAAACGACTCTCGCTGAGGCGCCGGCGTCATTTTCGGGCCGAACGCCCCCCGCGTATTTTTTTTACACACGGGATTCCCGGGAAACGGGTTTTCGCCTGCGTTGTTTTGTTAAAATGATGCTCTCGCTGAGGCGCCGGCCTCATTTCTGCCCCCGAATCGTTCCGAATCGTGCTCCCGCTGCAGCGTGGGCCTCATTTTCGGATCGGTGTTTGGCCCCCGTCGTTCAGGATGGCGTTCTCGCCCCAGCGCGGGCCTCTTTCTCGCGCGCCCATCCGCCCGCCACCACCGCGCCGCACCACCACCACCATCACCACCACCACCACCACGATCACAACCACCACCAGCACCAGCACCACCACCAGCACGAGCACTATCACCAGCACCAGCACCAGCACCACCACCACCACCACCACCACCACCACAACCACGCACACACGCACGCACGCACGCACGCACGCACGTGCACCACCACCCAGTACGCACGCGCGCGCGGAGCCACAGGTCTGCTACGACACGCGTCCGCGGATAGAGAGAAAATCAGCGCCATGGTAAGGGATGGGAGGGAGGGGTAGGACGTCAGAGATGACGCGAGCGCACCTAGCTTGTCTCCACCCCTCCCCCCTCACCGTTCCTCGAGCCCCCCCGCGCCCGGCCGCCGGGGTAGGGCGCGCGAGCCCAGCGGGCGTTTGAAGCCCTGCCCCGTCGGAGAGCGATGCGTCGCATTGGCGGGACAAGGTTCGGTCGCCGCCTCCAGGTTCTTTCGGCGCGGCCACGCCGCAGACGAGGGGGGGAAGGATGCGGGGCGTCGGCCGAGGACGTGGACTCTCTTCCACGCCGCCACAGGCAACGCGCCCTCGCCTTTCACCCCCCACGCCCCCCTTGACACCCTGACGCTTTTACACTCCGAC